AAAAAAAAAAAAAAAAGACTTTTCAAACTTTATAAGTTATAATTATTAGTATTTATTTAGATTTTTGTTGAAACTCATATTTTCCAACTCATATATCAATTTTTGTGCAAGCATTTGTTAGTGGGAGATGCTACGGTCTCGTTACGGAACTATTCCGTCGGAGTTTGTAACCGTTAGATCAACTAACCCTGACGGTTATATGATGATTAACGATTATAAATCCTCCACGGAATGGTTTCGTAACGATACCGTGCCATTTCCCGAAATTATATATTCATACCAATTAATATATATTCATACCAATTAACTTGTTAACTACAAGAGTTTAGACAAACTCGAACTGGGCTCGTTTATTAAACAAGTCGAGTTGAGCTCACGAACAACTCGTTTTTTTTTTTTCTTTTTTCCAATCGGTATAAAATATTTACACATAGTAAATACTCTATAAAGGAAAATTATTAGAAATTAATGGAATTGGAGGTTACGAAGTGCTTTTTTTGAATTTTCATGCCCTTCACCAACCTCAACAAAAGCAATTAAATTTTAAATGGTATTTTAAACTGCCCAATCTCCCCAGAAAATGGACTGATGCAGATTGTTGACTTAAAAGAGCACAATAATGGTCACATACCCACGGTTGGCACATGTTAGTTTGTTCACCGCTTATGTGGCATGCATACATTGGTGATGTTAATATGTTCAAAATAATACATCACCAATGTGTGCATGCACATAAGCGGTGAGCATATTAAATTGTGTCCACCGTAGATAGGGGAGCATTACTTTAAAAGAGCAAATTATTAATTTTTCGTTTGAGTTGATGTATATGAGATATTGGACTTGTAGTTTTCTTAGTTTTCGACCGATTTAGGGCCTTTTTATATGGGCTCTTAAACCCCAAGTGGTGTTGTTTGTTAAAAAAAAAAAAAAGATGGCAAAAAATACGTGGTATTTGTTTTTCCCATCAAATTTTGATAAGGAAATTCCATTTTTTTTTTTTAATTATAAATGATTTTCTTCCAACACTCACCCATTAAGCAAAGTCTTGTACATTGTACCATTCAACAATTACAAAAGTGATTGCTTGTGGTAACTCTTGTGTGTCTCTCTCTAAACTAGACTAATGGTCCCAACTGATTAATGCTTGATGCAATTATTCAAAGTCAATTTCGTTTTTTAGTTTGATTTTGTCACAAAAAGTATGCATTGATTTAATTTGGGTCAAATATAACGTATTGGATATAATCAATTCTTCATATATCCTAGATATGGGGAGACCAAATGTTGGTAGATTGGTCCAATACTACATGATGGCATGATGCATGGATTCATGTCCAATATTAACCGAATCGAAGAAGTTGGTCGATCGGTATTAGTTTTATTTTACTCGATTCCATTAATGTAATACTCGAATCGAACTGATTTAGTGGTCAGATCATGTTGTATAGATAAACGTAAAAAGATTTAGAAATCAAGATTGCAAATGAGATTCATATTTGATGGAGATGAGATTGCATTGCTTTTTTCTGGACAGGCCGATCATATAGCATAAGTAGTCTAATTATATAATAAGATTATTTTAGTAGTTATTTAAGTATTGATTATCTTGTTTAACAAGTATCTTTATCTTTGTAAGACTCATTTGCTTTTAGTATTTAAGGTTTTCACATTATTATTAATTGGGTGGTTGATATTTAACTGAAAAATTTCAAAATAAGTCCAACATGTATAAGGGGTGACATTTTTTTGTCCCGACGAAAATAGTGAAAAAC